ACTATAATATCGATAAGTAAACCGTGGATTAAAATCGAATCAAACCGCAAATAATGGTTTGGTTTGTAAAATAAAATGGTTTGGTTTGGTTTGGAAAAATTTCAAACCGCATTAAATGATTTGAGTTGAAAATATATCTCAAACCGCTCAAATCGAACCGTGTTCACCCCTAATAAGAACCTTGAACAAGATTAGTTGACTTGACTTGCACAATCAACCAGCATATTTTAATTGATTTCTTGACTTGCACAATCAACCAGCATATTTTAATTGATTTCTTGACTTGCGCGACTTTGAAAATAAAAGAATCACTTCCATGAAATATATAAAATATTCACTTGAAATTGTGGGGCCAAAATAACTAAAATTTTATATTATCTTGACCTTTTCATTACCTTGAAAAGTCCAATACGTGTGATTGTGAAAAGTGAGAAAGAGACTTGTGAAGATACAGAAAATGACTTTTTGATTTGGTCATTTAAAGCGGCCAGTGGAAAGTTAAAAGTCCCGTCTTTATAATGAAAAAGATTCAACAACGTGATAGGTGCGTAATTCATTTTTATTAGCCATGGACTGTCAAGTCAAGTGTTAAACAGCTCCTAACTTTTCTCTTAAACTGAAAATAAATTATTTAATCATCTACCTGTGATCTGGTACAGTTAGAATTCTTGATTTTTTTTAAATATCATATTTCATAACTTAATCCCGTTTGATCTACAGTATTATCTCATTAAAATAAAAAATATGATCGTTATCCATCACATCAACATTTAAATTCAAATTTTCTATTTCTTATATAGGCGCCAACAACGACTATATTTTTCTTTCTCATTTTACAATAATTTGGCTCAAACAGGGCCTTAATGTTCGAAAATTTCAACTAATCTGGACCGTCTCAAACAATGTCTAAAACTTCAAATAATTCACGACAATATTTGAACGGAAACAAATATGGTTTTTTGCATAACTTGAACCATATATACAATATTTTGGAGTCAAATGTTTCATTGGCCATTGAACTTTGCACCGTGTCACGGCTTGCTCATTGAACTTCATAAATTGACCCATTGGCCACTAAACTTAGTTCCGTCCAACTCCATCATTTATCCGTTGAAATCCATTAATAGAGGTGCCTACGTGGTTGACGGAAAATGAGCTGGCTAATTAACTTCTTCCAAGTGGTAAGTCGTGTGCCAAAACATCTTCCGAGTCAGCAGAATTAAAAAGCTTCTTACAAAACAATGCTTTACTAATTTCACCAAACACGACTTCACAAAATCAAAATGCAAAGCTTGAATTTTGTTTTTCTCCTCCCAAAATCAATTGCTCCCATGAAGCGAAGAACCCTAACTTCACATGAAGAACCGTCTTCCCCAAATCACTAAATCCCCAACTTCACTTGAAGTCCATTTCTCCCAAAATCGATTTGCGAAGTTTTCGGAAACAATATGGGACGAAATCGCAAAGGGTTCATTTCAACGAAAGATCATTCAAAGTAGATGTAGCTTGTATTTACCGTTGGCATAACATTCGCATTAAGCTTGGAGCTTGCATTTACCGTTGAATCATGCTTTAAGTGTAAACTTCGTCTTGTCTCTTTTAAGTTCGTAAAAAACTTAAAACTTGATCATAATATATGATTAAAAAACGCATTTTTTTATAATTATTTTGGGTTTTATTTACTTTTTTAAATTTATATGATTTTTACATTTTAGTGCATTTATATATAAACTAAAATTTTTAATATTATTTAATTAAATATTAATAAACAATCTTACTATTGTGACGTCGACGGTCAATAATCGCCCTAGCTGACTTAATAACATTGCTCGAGGAGCGGCTTGTTTCGGAATTTAAAAATTGTGAGCATTGGACAAGGAAAATATTACAACCTTAAAACATTAAAAATTGTAGAAGAAAGATGCTGAGAAATAAAACATCTTGATATCTTCCAAAAGCCTAACCAATCTCAAAACCAAAATTTTCAGCGTTCAAGTTCATTTATTGAGTCTGCAGTTTTACTTTGTGTAAATTCACCAAAAGCCTGTCATATACGCAAAAGTTATTTGTTGAAAAGTTTTGGAAGAAATCTATAAATCAGACTGATTTAGTTGTTTAGGCCCGTTTGGGTCACATTATTTTTTTCATTATCATTTTTCTACTCATTTTTAATTACACATTTTTCAATAAAATAATATTTTCCACCACATCAATAACTTTTCCTTATTTTTTAACCACATATTCCCCATCACATCAACAGTAAAAAACATTCTTTTTCCAAAAATGTGCACCAAACGGGGGTTTAGTGGGGTCAGCTATCCCCCACACTAAATTTAAAATTTCAAAATTTACCTAAGATGTTTTCAAGATTTTCAAATGTTTTTTGTAGTTTTCAATTTTTTCCCCCACAATTAAAATTATGTGAAAAATTTCCCCACAGCTCTTTTATCATAGCTCTGCATTGTTTGACAACCATTATTTTAAAACTTTTTTAATTTTAATACTTATTTTCAACTACACATTTATAAAATAAAATATTTTACATATAAATTAAAAATTTTTATTATTTTTTAATCATACATTAAAAAAAGAAAAAAAAAATTCAAAACTCAATTTTTTCAAAAGTAACGGTCAGGACAAATATTGCTTTTAAAAAATGTGTATATGTTTCAAGCCATCAATTCTAGCACTTCACGTTTCACGCCATCATATTTTCTGCAATTTAGCCCCGTTTGACACTCTCCGTCTCTTTGATTTAAACTTTAATCAATTTTCAATTCAACATTTTTGACAACAGTGAGACTAATGTCTTACCCTATCTAATCACTTGGATGAGGATATCAACATCCATAGGATCAGTGGACATTGTAAGGACATTATCACCCTCAACTTTTCTTGACAAATTACAAAATTACCCCCAATGCGTAGCCTCCCGTTTTGGCACCTAATGTTTGTAGGCAGGGGGCGGACGCAGAACTTTAACGTTTGGGGGCCGGGCGGGGGGGGGGGGGGGGGGGGGCGGGGGGGGGGGGGGGGGGGGGGGGGGGGGGGGGGGGGGGGGGGGGGGGGGGGTGGGGGGGGGGGGGGGGGGCGGGGGGGGGGGGGGGGGGGGGGGGGGGGGGGGGGGGGGGGGGGGGGGGGGGGGGGGGGGGGGG